AGTTAAGTAGTAGTTCTGCAGAAAAGGACCTGGGGGTTACAGTGGATGAGAAGCTAGATATGAGTCAACAGTGTGCCCTTGTAGCCAAGAAGGCTAATGGCATATTAGGATGCATTAAGAGGAGCATTGCCAGCAGATCCAGAGATGTCATTATTCCCCTTTATTCGGCTTTGGTGAGGCCACATCTGGAGTACTGTGTCCAGTTCTGGGCCCCCCACTACAAAAAGGATGCGGACGCATTGGAGAGGGTCCAGCGGAGGGCAACCAAAATGATTAGGGGTCTGGAGCATATGACCTACGAGGAGAGGCTGAGGGACTTGGGTCTGTTTAGTCTGCAGAAGCGAAGAGTGAGGGGGGACTTGATAGCAGCCTTCAACTTCCTGAAGGGAGGTTCCAAAGAGGATGGAGAGAGGCTGTTCTCAGTAGTGACAGATGGCAGAACAAGGAGCAATGGTCTCAAGTTGTGGTGGGAGAGGTCCAGATTGGATATTAGGAAAAACTATTTTACTAGGAGGGTAGTGAAGCATTGGAATGGGTTACCTAGGGAAGTAGTGGAGTCTCCATCCCTAGAGGTGTTTAAGTCTCGGCTTGACAAAGCCCTGGCCGGGTTGATTTAGATGGGATTGGTCCTGCCTAGAGCGGAGGGCTGGACTTGACGACCTTCTGAGGTCTCTTCCAGTTCTGATTCTATGATAAGGGGATGGTTGGATGAAATAACATGATCTTGGTAACTAATTGACCATTCATTTCCAGTTGGAAATAGGTCAATGGAGGGATGATAGGAGTTGCTATAGGGAACTTTCTGGGTGTCTGGCTGGTGAGTCTTGCCCACATGCTCAGGGTTTAGCTGATCGCCATATTTGGGGTCAGGAAGGAATTTTCCTCCAGGGTAGATTGGCAGAGGCCCTGGAGGTTTTTCGCCTTCCTCTGTAGCATTGGGCACAGATCACAGCTGAAGGACTCTCTGCATGTTGGGGCCTTCAAAGTATTGGAAGGCTTCAATATCTGAGACATAGGTGAGAGGATTATTCTAAGAGGGGTGGGCGAGATTCTGTGGCCTGCACTGTGCAGGGGGTCAGACTAGATGATCATAATGGTCCCTTCTGACCTTAAAGTCTATGAGTCTATGAGTATGAGAACTCTCCCCCCCGACCAGCCCTGCTTCCCGGCCTTCCCCTTCCTCCCGGCCAGCCCTGCTCTTCTCCCGGCTGGTTCCTCCGTCCCCCCCCATCAAGTGTGACCGTTGGGGTTTTTTTTTAGACTACCTGGTAACCATAGCCGTGGGGGGCAGGGCAGATGCCAGAGCCATTGTGTACATGGGGGTGGGGTGAGTCCCAGATGGCGCTTTAGAGCCACAGGCGGTGGGCCCGTGACCTAGGGTGGGCGGGGCTGCCCCTGCAGCACAGCGTGGTGGGTTATTTTTTATTTTTACAGGTTGAGATCGGGCCCGATCGGGTCCAAAAGTACCTTAAAACCTTCTCCTGGAGGAAAGGTTATCCCATGGAAAGTTTGGTTGCTGTAAGTCTTATAGTGTCCAAGTTATTAGAGCACAAACATACAAACATTCTCCTTTATATATTAGATAAATGCATTATTTAGTATTTCATTTTGAAATGAAGCCATGTGGAAAACATGAGGACAGAGGAAAAGAAGGTTTTAAATGTATGTGCAATCATTTAAAGAGTTCTGATTAAGTTTCATTGTTATTGTTATTTTTATTAAATAATCAATTAGACAAATCATTTTATGGTAACTGATTTTCATAGACTCATAGAGCTGGAAGAGACCTCAGGAGGTCATCAAGTCCAGCCTCCTGCCCAAGGCAGGACCAATCGCAACTAAATAACATTTTTCATTACATGTAGTTACTTTTATTTTAATGGCTCTGTATAGGAGCCTTCTGAAGGTAACCAAAAAATAATTCAGCTTCTTCTCTTTGTTGAACATACAAGTCCGAAATACAAAATGCAAATTAAAACAAAAAAAAATCACATACAAGAATACTTTAGTGTAAAGAAAATGGGTTTGTATTTCATTGCTATTTGCTTCCTTCTCAAAATAGTGGTGTGTTGTTTTTTTTTAAGAGAAAACGTGGGCATCGATCCCACTACCTCTCACATGCTAAGCAAGCACTCTACCATTTGAGCTAATTCCCCTTTTAACTTTAGTAGGCACTAGCAATAAAACTTTTTATGCTCAGAAAGTATTTTTGAGCAGTTGTCCTGAAATATTGCAAGTTCTCCAGTCATAAATAGAATGATGTGTGCTGATTCATCCTACTATTTAGCAGTAGCAATAACTCTAATAAATCCATTCAGACTACTCAGGAAATACAATTAGTTCAAATAGTGTAGTGTTTGTGTCTGCTTTGAAGGCATGTCTACACTTACCAGGGGTTTGGTGTTGTGACTATTGATCCCTGGAAGTCGATTTAAAGGATCTAATGAAGACATCCCCCCAAATAAGCTGATCACTCTCTTCTCAACTCTGGTAATTCACGGGAATAAGAAGCATAAGGGAAGTTGATGACTGTTTCTCCTGTCAACTCCTCCCTTCCCCGCAGTAATCTGACTTAAGGTACCTTGACTCCAGATACTGTATTCAGGTACCTGGAGTTGCATAAATTACTTTGCCCCCTAATAGTAGTGAAAACCTTCCCTGAAATGCTGTGGGATCTATGTGACGAGTTCTTTTGGTCATCTGCTCTCATACCTTTCTGTGTTGTTAGTTTTTCCACGTTAGGACAGAAATGTTCTTTCGTTTAAAAGAAAGCAAATCTGATCACTGCTATTGTAAGCTATACTTTGCTCCCAGAAATCTTGACATTGTTTTAACCTGTCTCTTTAGCACTGAGGTTTATCAACATGCATCTTAGTGTCAGAGTAAAACAATGTGGGATGAAATATTTACAAACCTGATTATGCCTCAACTCTGTTAAATTGCCTTATATTTGTATTGTCCACATTCTTTCAAAACTTACGAAATAAAATAACTTATACTATCAAAATTATTTTAATTTTCAATAAATAGTAAAAAATATAATTAAAGCATATTGTGCACATTTATTTCTTAACTTGGTAGATTACTTTAATATAGCTATTTATTATGATGTTTTACAAAAATGTTAAGAGCAGGATGCATCTAGATTTTAAAAAGAAAATAATGACAAATGTTTAGAAGGGTGAAATATTGATGACAAAAACCACAAGAAAGTAGTGGAAACTCTACCAGTCTTTTACTTTATTTTTTCAGCTGTCAAGACTGTGATAATCTACCAAACCAATCTTCCCACAAAACGAATCTCTAACAAAAATCACATTCTCATATTAGAAAGTTAACTCAAAAAGTAACTGAAAATATGCATATGCTTCACAATTGAAAGAAGTTATCCTTTTGAAATTAATGGTCCGTGGTTTTAAACAAAAGTCATTGGAGAATGCGGGCATCGATCCCGCTACCTCTCGCATGCTAAGCGAGCGCTCTACCATTTGAGCTAATTCCCCGTCTCCTGTATATAGGTCTCAGCTATCTGACTCACTCTTTTCTAGGTCATCTGATGGCTAGATAGTTTAACCACCTAATACATATATTTCTTATATTTATTTTAGGACTGTTCCTGAGATCGTTACAAGCAAGCAAAAACAAACTGCTTTTCATTTTAGTGCTTTTTCGTTAATCCAAAGTTTGTGTGACTAAAATATGAGTCAACATCTCAGCATTTAACTGTTCACAAGTTACCCAGTTGGATCACAGATCTTTACAAAGAGGTCTGAGGATACAAATGAGTTGTAGACTCACCTGCACAATAGTTATTACAGTTAAAACTGCATCACGCTGCATAATTATCTTAACAGATTTGACATAAACGTTATTAATGGGCTACACAGAAATTTCTTCCTGGACTATATATCAGGGATCCCTGGGTGGCAACAAGCCAGTGAAGTCGCTCTAACAACCTCTACAAGCAGCGGTGTTGGTATGTGTGGTCGGGGGAAACAGGTATGGATATAACTACCCCTGAGGTCTTCCTGCACAGCTCAGTGATTCTTTGGGCCTGTGGACAGTCAGGTGTGAATTACACAAAAAATAGAATCACCTCCCGGCCAGTTCCAAAATTGAGAGCTGCAAAGGGCACCTTTGTTTGTTTTCTCCCTTGAAACTTCGGCCACTTTGGTTACTGGAAAATCTTCTAAGTCTATATTCTCATTCATTTCTGTTACCATTTTCTGTACTTTTTCACGTTCTCCTTTTACAAATACTTTATTCAATGTTACATTAAAATACTCCATGCAATGCCGAAAAAAGGAATCGTCACTAGTGAAGAGACAGGGAAGTAGCTGTTCGTCATTTCAATACCCGCTTTCCAAACAGCTCCACCTCTAGCGAGTGTGTAGGGTGCAGGAACATCAAACAGTCACGTCAAAGCCCTTTAAACGAACTAACGTCTAACCTGACGTTACTGCTCAGGTAGGGGATGCCCCCAGCAAAGCCCTTGCACCGACACCGGTTGCTGCGGAGGGAGGGAGGGGACACGGCGTAACGGGCACCGGGAAGCAACCTCGGTCATTCCCGATCGCTCCGCGCCTGGCCCAGCCAGGGTGACAGGCTGCC